GGGTTGGGAAGATCCCCTGGAGGAGGGCATGGCAACCCACTCCAGTACTCTTGCCTGGAGAATCCCCATGGACAGAGGAGCCTGCTGGGCAACAGTCCAAAGGGTCACAAAGAGTCAGATACGACTGAAGCGACTTAGCACGGTCCCCAGTTAGGCTTCTCTAACCCCCCAAGTCTGGGGTTTCTAAGCACCCAATGTTTCTTTCAACTGCCACACGTATCATCATCTGCTACACTCAACAGTTCTCATGTCCTTGAGCTGAAGTCTGGTGAGAAAAGGAATCGTTTCTGGAAGGTCATGCCTCTCCTTCCACTGTCTCACCTGGTGCCTAGCAAAGAACAAGTTCTTAACTGTTGACTAATTTAACAAACGAATAAATGAATTTCCTTTTGTCAGGCTTTCTGTAAGGTCAACATCCTAAATAAAATGAAAGAAAAAACCCTGTGCCTATCCAGCACAACAGACACTCCACACCCCAGACAAATGCTGCGCAATGGCAGACCACAGGGTAGAGCCACAGCTCCTAACAAGGAGCGCCTGCCACGAATTCACGTGCATTGGCTTTTCCAGCAGTGACAGTCCAGTGCAAAGGTGAGATGCCATTTTAATGTGTGTTCTACAGTATTCCCAAATGTGAAGCATATATAAGAAATGAAAATAACCTCTCTTAATTACCCAAATCTCAGAGTATCCCCTTCTTCTGTCACACGATCAAGGACCATAAAGAAAAACCTACTTGTAAGAATAAGGAGTATCTTCAACATGTATGGAAAGAGTATGTTCTGCTAACACAGGGATTCAGTTTTAAAATGCACTAAAATTTAATGACCATGAATGTATTTCAGCCTCATAATTTAATCAGAAGGCCAATATCAAAAGTCAATCTGGGGATTTCCCTGGTGGTCCAGCAGTTAAGAGTCCGCCTTGCAATGCAGGGACATGGGTTTGACCCCTGGTTGGGGAACTAGGATCCCAACTGCTGAGGAGCTTATAAGTCTACATGCCACAACGAAAGATCCTGCTTGCTGCCTGAGACCCGACGCAGTCATAAACACATATTTTTTAAAAAGCCAATTTGCCTGACTGAATTTTTCTTCTGATGAATTTGTCAAATGTTATCGTCTCCAAATAGAACTACCCTAAGAAAGTAAATGTATTCCAATTAAGTCTCCTCCCACTGACCAGTTAGGAGAGAGACTAAGTACAGAAAGCAGAGATAAAATACCCTCATTGGCACTGCTGCCCAGCTGCCCAGAGGCCCACTCTGATCTTTGGTCACGTGGGTCACTTCGTGTTGAAGATCTGGTGCATTTTATACATCAAATGCCACAGTTTGCTTCTTAAGATCCACTCCGCTTTCGTGGTCAATTACAAGCGAGCGCCACCATCAAAGCATGCCTAGGAACTTGGCCAACTCACCCACCCCAAGTGAAGGTCTGAGAATGATCCCAAGGACAAGTGCCACCTGGGGACACTGTTCTCTGTGATAACAAGCCATGCGAGATGAAGGGCAAAATGAAACCTCAGTAAGCAGCCCAGGAGGTTTCATGGTCCAGTGGGTATCATTCTCCTCTGATATTACCACCACTGACACGCTTAGCAGTGCTTGTGTGTGTGCATGCTAAGTTGCTTCAGTCGTGCCTCTTTCCAGCCTGATGGACTATAGCCCGCCAGGCTCCTCTGCCCATGGGATTCTCAAGAATACTGGAGTGGGTTGCCATGCCCTCCTCCAAGGGATCTTCCCAACCCAAGGATTGAACCCGAACCAATCCCACAGTTTATTGTCTGTAAGCATCTTCTGGGTGCAAGCAGTGACAAGTTTAAAAATACAGACTTGTGAAGGGATTGTCTGTAATAACTGCCTTATTCTGTGTATGCAAAAATAAAGTTTATTCTTAAGTTCTGATGAGAAACCATCAGAGTCTCCTGGAGAGCTGGGAGTCTACACTCAACCCTAGGCTGCGAACACATTTCCTGGAGCGGCTTCTGAGAGCAGTGTCCCGCCAGTTTGGGAATAATGCCGAGCCTGTCTGTTTTTCTAATCTGGCCAGTGACCCAAGGACAGTTCAGGCAACAGTTTAGTGGACGTTTGCAGAAAAGCTCAAATGGTAACAGCTGGGAAAGGCTGTGGGAAAAGTTGCTAACTTCCTTCAAGAGAGAATCTAGAACACAAGTAAGAGCTGGGAAGTAGTGAGAGAACGCTGAGTTTAGGAAGTATTAATATATTGTACTGAGACAAGAGGTTTGTAAGACACAGCCACTTAAAGACAAAGGAGGGACCATATTCTCGTTTCTTCACCACTGCTTAGACTCTGGTCAGAGAAAAACAGACTCTTACACTGCTGGACGATGAACACCCTCATTCCACAGTGACAACAAATGCTTCCCACAAGCCTGGAAACAGGCTAGTGCAAATTTAAAATAAATACACATTTAAGCCCTACCCCATTATTAGCCCCGCTGAACAGTTCAAGGACGCGAGGTCACACAGCCACTAACTGTGCTTACCATAAAGCATTCGTTAAAATACCTGAAGTGCTCCACACACTTCAGGCTTTAAAACCACTGGGTAGGTTTTAATTCTGATACTTTCAACAGGGAAGACCATGACCAAAGGTGAATCATGCAGAGTATTTAAGAGATTTGGAGTGAGGATTTGCGTGTGTGGCAAAAACCAAGAACCATCCAGTTACCCTAAGGCTTAGAGGGATAGCATGCAAGAGAGAAGTTTTATAAGCCTTCTGTTTAACAGCCAGAATTTTTATATCAGCCAAAAAAAGTATGTTTCCAGAGCAGAATAAAAAAAAAAAAGGTCGGGAAATTAATTCAATTGTACGTGAGGAGGGACTTAAGAGAAATACTGCCATTAAGAGTGGATAAGCCCTCCAATTATAGCCTGTGCTCACTTAGGGAAGTAGTCAGGGCCAGTTCATTATTCAAATCTACATGAAATGTACATTAGAAATCAGAATGAGTGGCCTCCACTTTGATGAAAGGGTTGAACTTTCTCGCTCCAAGCTCTATGCATGACGGCCACCGGCCACGGAGCTCGGACCCCCTCGGGGAGGGACGGCCAGCGGCCACGGAGCTGGGTCCCCCTCGGGGAGGGACGGCCAGCGGCCACGGAGCTGGGTCCCCCTCGGGGAGGGACGGCCAGCGGCCACGGAGCTGGGTCCCCCTCGGGGAGGGACGGCCAGCGGCCACGGAGCTGGGTCCCCCTCGGGGAGGGACGGCCAGCGGCCATGGACCTGGGTCCCCCTCGGGGAGGGACGGCCAGCGGCCATGGAGCTGGGTCCCCCTCGGGAAGCTCAGCTGCCTGGACCCCACAACAAGATGAGCCAGAGCTCCTGGTGCTCAAGGACTGTGCTTGCTGGAGGGGAGCCGCACCACTCAGAGTGTCTGGCTAGAAACTGAAAGCACATTCAAAAACCATCTTGCTTTTTGGAGGAAAAATAAGAAGAGTTTGTGTGTCACCGAACACTGGCCACTGGCCACCTTCTGTTGCTTCTGGGTGGCTAGTGCTATAGAGATGCAGGCCCTCCCCCAGCCCCGGGAGGAGGGACGTGGGGCTGAACAGCCTCACTGACTGTCGGGTTATCCAGTTCTAGTACTCCGGGTCCAAAGCCACTATAAACTGTTCTGTTAGACTAATGTCCCTTCTATACCAGCAGAACCACCTGCCCAAAGCCAAGTCAAAAGCAAATCAAGATCCAAACAGGAACAGTAACAACTACTTCAGTCACAACTCTGTGAGTCTGTACCTATTATCTTGGAGAATAAGTCACCATAAGGCACCTTTATTCCGACAGGCCAGGTTGATACTTGAACTACTAATCATATTAAAATGAGAATGAAGTTAATACAATCATCCATTTATGCCTTAATGCCACTGCGGACATTAAAAAAATGAGGCCTCCAGTAAGTCATGAATTGAGACAACATCCCATTACCACAGGGCAGCTACTTCTGTCCTCAACTCTCTTAAGATGAGTTTTGTATCAGGAGATGGTAAAGAAAAAACAGAAACACCAGGAGGGTTTTATACCCTTTATTATAAATAATACCCTTTATTATTATTACACCCTTTATTTCAGCTTCCTGAATACATGATCTCTCAGCAAAGAATGTAATGTACCATACTCTCTCTGATGAGAATTTGAATCTTGATATCAAGATCCCACACTGCAACTACTCATGAAAAAAAAAAATCTATTTTGAAAATAAAAAAAAAGTGGGGCTTCCCAAAGACACCTGTCTGTGGCAAACATATGGATCCAATTCAAGTGTATCTTTGAGCATCTCTGATTTACAAACACTCTGGGCCTGTAGTGTAACTTTCATAGCTCATCGATCTTCAATCTGTATACAGTTTCAGTATATCGTATTTGGTTGTCATCCTTTTGGCATTTTCTTCACTAAAAATGTATCTCAGTCTCTCTCTGTCCTTCATGAGCTTGACATTTTTGAAAAGCTCAGGGAACTAGTATTGGATAATGTTTGGGTTATCTGTACTATGGTAATACAAGACAGTGTCTTTGACAAAAGAGCACTGTATGTGTAACTTACTTTCCTGTGTTTCAGAAAAATCTTTAAGGAAAGTGATAAAGTCAGGGAAGGGAGCAAGATGGATAAAACAACTGTTAAAATAACACTTTGGAGGGTCCAGGTGAAGACTATGTGGTGTTAGTGCTGTTTTTTGCAACTATTTTAAAAACCAGAAATTATTTCAAAATAGAGTTTGAAAAAATAATGCTGGTCAGGTTTAGGCCCAAGAATACAATGAATTTAATTGTATGTGTTAAGGAGATTTTCATGTAGTAAAAGGAGAAAGGTCTCCAAACTGAATTCTGTGTCGCCTTTTCTGTGAACGACCATTCACTCATTCAGGGGAAGAGTCAGGCAAACGCTGTAAGGCACTGCCACAGGGTCTTAGAGCGAAAACAATAAATGAAAGGGAGAATGTTCTGAATATATTTAATGGAAAAAAGTAGCATACTCACTGTCCAACCCAGAATGGCTGATTGTCGTTAATGAGAAGGATTTTGTCAGTGGAGAAGAAATGGCTGATGTACAGTAGTTAAATCCCTGTTGTTTAGATCTGTGACATGTCTGTGAAAGAAATAAAGGTAAAACAGTTCTCAGTTCATGCTCTTATATTTCTAGGTTAGTACAAAACTTGACATTGCGACTCAGCAGAAGGAAATAAGGCAGTACACAGAGGAAAAGACCACAAGCTTTGTAGGCCACAAAACAGCTGCTCAACTTCAGAGAAACAATTGAGCTTTTCTGAGCCTCAGTGTTCTTATCTGTAAAATGGGAACAGTTAGAGTATCTACTGCTTATGGACATTTCGTATCCTTCCCAAGAGGGACATGTAAGGATGTCTCAAACTTCATAAGCACTTAATACATGTCTACTGAATGCAGAGTCAGATAAAAATAACTTTACTGGAAATATCAGACTATGTATAGTGCTTGCCTTTTGAAAATTTAAATATCATGTACAGATATAATAGGATACCAGTAATATCATTCTGGGTCATGTATGGATGTGACAGCTGGACTGTGAAGAAAGCTGAGCACCGAGAAATTGATGCTTTTGAACTGTGGTGTTGGAGAAGACTCTTGAGAGTCTCTTGGACTGCCAGGAGATCCAACCAGTCCATACTAAAGGAGATCAGTCCTGGGTGTTCATTGGAAGGAATGATGCTGAAGCTGAAACTCCAATACTTTGACCACCTCATGCGAAGAGTTGACTCACTGGAAAAGACCCTGATGCTGGGAGGGATTGGGGGCAGTAGGAGAAGGGGACAACAGAGGATGAGATGGCTGGATGGCATCACTGACTCGATGGGCATGAGTTTGAGTAAACTCCTGGTGTTGGTGATGGACAGGGAGGCCTGGCGTGCTGCGATTCATGGGGTTGCAAAGAGCTGGACACAACTGAGTGACTAACTGAACTGAACTGAATATCATTCTGATGTTAAAGAGTTAGAAACAGAGATACAAATAGAAAAGGTTTTAAGATCACAAGCAAAGTAGGCTCTGCATCTGGATAGAAACCTAAATCGTTTTCACTTCCTCTTCTGAGATTAAACAGATTATATGTGAACATGTGTATGACTGCAACTCCCTTGGTAAATTAACAGCCACTTCAGGGCTGTGTAATCAGACCCGCTGCAGAAGAGCCTGCAACAAAACCCATTTCCGGTGATGGTGGGACTCTTGTTTTGCTTGGAGAGAGGCCATCCTAATTGCTAAGTAACTTTAATTACCATAAATCCCTTCCCTTCCTAGCAGTCTGAAATCTGTATGTGCTGAAAGGGAAGCAATGAAAATCCGTTACTAGGGTGAACTTGACTCAGTTACACCAAAGACTTCTCATTATTTAGAGCCTGTTCCACGGGTAACCATGGAGTCTGAGACAAACAGTTGCTATGTTTCGAATACAACGGTGAGGTCTGCAAAATGACGTCAGCTGAAAGGCAGAGACCTTCAGCAGGAAGCTGGCTGCTGGCGACTTGCGCGCGTCAGAGATACAAGCGGCTCAAACATCCACTCTGAGGCTGCGCACGAGACGGAAGACGGGTGAGCAGAGCCCCTGGCAGGCTGAGCACAGCCGGCAGGGGCAGCGCTTCATCTCGGCAGGCTCAGCAAGGCCACTCACACAGACGGCCGCCACTCAGACTCCCAGGGGCGTCAGTGCAGAAGGCCATCGTGTAAACACGATGAAGAAAACTGAAATGCCCTCACTTCCTCATCAAATGGCATCTACTTCAAAGTAACAGTGAGACTAAAAGTCTGCCATTCTGAGTTTAATACTGTTCAGCTAAGTTACGGGGCCTTAGGCTAATCACTTAAATGGGCTTGACTTTCTCACACACAAAGGCTTAAGCAGATTTTGAGGGGATTTACTGGCTCTAAGTAAACTCAAGTTTTGGTATTTTACCTGGTCCTACAAGTGATTTCCAAAGGACTCTCTACACACAATGCAACATGTTTTTCAGACGAACGTGTCAGAGATGCTCTCTGTAGTCACCAAATTTATTGTTTCCTATTTTCCCCTCTTTTCCTGTTACCACTGGGCTGAATAAATAGACACTATCTACTTTAATAACTATATTCTCCATATTCTCGTTATTTTTCTTAACATCCAAGAATCCACGAAGAGGGGACAAAAGGAGGCAAAATTCCTTTAGGCCTTCAATTTCATTTCCCTTAGACCTTCACATGACCATAATTGATTTAAAATATTTGGTCACATCATTGCTACATAGCAGGATGTAATAAAAAACTAGATTTCTACACAAAACCTTAGTCACTGATTCGAAGAACAGGTTATTTAAATTTCTGTTTGTTTAGTTTGAAACGATGCCTTACACTTCTACCTAAAATGAAAGTCACCTACTCAGAGATTGGCATTTTAACTTTTTTGCTTAATTAGAAAAAATTTCACTTCGAAGTGTATCTCAGAATACTCTCAGAAGTTCATCCAGGTGTTAGTTTTAAAATTAATACCTTCTTAATTTTAAAAGTTTGCTTTGCTGAAATATTTAAATGTATGCAGATTAACTGTATTCTTTAATTAGCACTGGGCTTCCCTGATAGTTCAGTTGGTAAAGAATCTGCCTGCAACGCAGGAGACCCCAGTTCAATTCCTTGGTCGGGAAGATGTGCTGGAGAAGGGATAGGCTACCCACTCCAGTATTCTTGGGCTTCCTTTGTGGCTCAGCTGGTAAAGAATCCACGGGCAATGCAGGAGACCTTGGTTTGATCCCTGGGTTGGAAAGATCCCCTGGAGAAGGGAAGGGCTACCCACTCCAGTATTCTGGCCTGGAGAATTCCATGGACTGTATAGTCCATGGGATCGCAACGAATCAGACATGACTGAGCAACTTTCATTTTCAAGTAGCATTAAGTGCTAGAAACTGCTGTTTGCAACACTGAGTATATGCGTAATTGTAGCTACTAACCTTATGTGAACATTAAGTCTTGCCTTCTTTGTTCCTAATATGAGGAGGTATTTAGAGAAAAGAAACCAATCCCCCCTCTCCAAATGAGCAACATACACCTCTCTCAGCCTTACCTGCTGATTAAACATTCTATGTTCCCTCTGGCCTGATTCAAGATCCTCTTCTGAAAGCGACACCAGAGAGTCACCCCTTTCCTGGCCACTGAAAGGGTGCCTGAGTTCTTTGGTGTTTGAAGAGCTTCCTTCGAGAGATGAGGACGGCTTGTTTCCAATACCAGCTCCTCCTGTCAAGCCTTCTAGACTGAAACTGAACACAAGACACGAGAGTTAATTCATTCTGAGATTCAGAAAGGCAGGAGGGTACAAAGCCCCTGCACTTTTGTCTCCCCTGCCTCTAACTTTCTGTCACCCAGCAAAACCGTCTGCAAGGGCATGGCCAAATGAGTGCCCCCTACCCTTCCCCCTGGATCTTGGTCGGCTGAGAAATATAAAAAAACCTCATTCAATTTACTCAAATGTTGAACTACTTCAAGCCATTTTCTCAGACATTTTTCAATATACCATATGGATAGACCATATTATCTATAGATCTTTTTTTTTTTTTAACCCTTGATCTGATGTGATCAATTTTTGTCAGAATCTGAAGCCTGCCGATGCCAAAGAATTAAATAGCACAGAGAAAATACGAACATTAAGTGAGCTTCTGGAGGAAAATAGGGAAGATCCAGACTTGCCCTTGCAGCTGTCAAGTGGACCTTTGTAACTTCACATTTGACTGCAATCCAGGTAACATTTGTAACTTCACGTTCCATGACAGTCTAGGTGACCTTTGTAATTTCACAGGCATGCGTCCACCCCAGAAACCCCACATCACACAGGCGCGTTACCATCTGTGCACACCTGCCCCGAACAAGCACCGCTTTGGCAGGTTTCCTGAGAATGGTTAGTTGCAGACAGGCACATGGGACACCATAAAGGGCAAAAGTTGAAAGGTGTCTAAGAGAGGTTTAATTTCTTTTTCCTTGATACTGACAAAGTGGGAGGAAAAAAGCAAACTTAAGGTTTGGTATTGAAAATGGGATCCCTGGAATAAAGACTGTGGTTTGCAGAGTGAGAAGCATTTTCTGTGAGGAGGAGGCTATAGAGAGAGGTTGGCCAGCTTTCATCCTTCGGGATGCTAGACAGAATAAATCACGTGTGTTACCACTGGATCTCAGAATGCAGGGCGAGAGCACCATGCCTTCAGTTACAAGCATGTGGAGTTGTATTTGAAGGCATAATGAAGCTCTTTCGTTATCTCTGGCTCAAAGTTAACTGCTACAAAAAAAGTTCATGTATGCTGGTCTAGAAGGATTTCTATTTGCCCTTTTTCCTATGAATCACTTACTATGAACTGAAACCATATGCCTCTATAAATTAAACAATGGATTTTATTCTGATTTCAATATGATGATAGAAATCATGACTAACTCCTAGCAAATGTCTCTGTAAAACTCATTTTCAGTATCAAGAGTAAGAAGACAGACTAATTGAAGAAGAAATTTAGTTTTCTGTTATGAATTATTTCTAAAGCCTGAGAAAGCCAGATCCTATGCTTACTACAACATTTAATCCTGAAAGTGATTAAATCTGGCAGCTTAGTTGAGAGAAGAACATGTAATGCTGAGCAATCTGTGAGCTTAGAATCTAAAGCGATGACTGGATTTGGAAGCGTAATTAAGAAATGACTGCATCTTATCAGCTGCCTTGTATTTGTTACTGTTTTCCTCAGGATGTGCTAATTCCTAGGAGCTGGGAATTGGAATGGATGAAAACAGAGAGAAGAGGTCTACCACAGCATGGAGACAAGCCTGTGCAGGAAACACCCGAATCTATAGCCACTTGAGACGAACAGAATGCATCGGGGACCAACATCCAGCTCCGAGGCTGCACCCCTTGAACTGGGTAGGATGCCCACAGCAGAGGCAGCAGAACACCATGCTCACAAACAAAGCAGGCCGCCATATGCATTCTAGCCACACACAAGCCAGTTCAAAGCCGAAAGCTCAGGTGCTGTGTTTTATGATTCCCCCTTTGGTGGCTGGACACGTAACAATACCATACCTTCTGTAATTAAAATCAGCACTCAGGGCAGCAGAGTATTGCACACCAGAGGGACACCAGCTCATACTGGGGATGACATCAAAGGCAGAAACAGAAATGGAAGAGGAAACAGGGATGGGATTATTGGGTTTAAAAAGAAGGGACACAGTTAGAGACAGATGGATTTTTCTGATCATCAAAAAATTAGGAATGTAACATTGATTTAGAATTTAGAAAATGGACGGAACAAAAAACACAATTCTTCTATTGATGTTCATCTATATAGTATGTTAGAAATGACTACGTAAACTCTTTACAGATTAACAAGTTCAGTGTTGGAAACCCCAGAATTTCTCCTAGCAAATCCTGAACAGAGTACCCACACTCCCTGAGGCTTCCTGGCTGGGCATGCTCACAGCAGTGTTTCAACCCCACTACTAAGGACACACTCTCTATACTGCCCACCACTCCTCCACCCATTCAGGCTAGGATGCTAAAGGTAAAGTATATAACAACGGTCCTGATTCCCTGTATTTTAATAATGAAGGGATGTCTTTCCTTGAAAAGGAATTTTATAGTACTGACCAAAGGGTCCCCTAATTTCTTGTGGAAAATCTATTTTCCCACAAGATTAAAAAAATAAAAATCCATTTGGTCATCTATTTCCTTGACTATCTCAGCACTCACATTTATTCTCATGCAGTAGGAACAGAAAATCTGGGGTTGGAAATGGTAAGTGAACACAAGCAGACAAAAAATAACCAACTCAGAGTATCAGGTACTCTGCAAAAGGAGCTGCAACCACAGGTCAGGATTTTTGATTAATAAAAGCTACTATTAAAAAAAATACACTGCTACTTAAAAAAAATAAAAAATACACTGCTACTTTTTCAGCCTTAAAGATCTAAGCGACATGCTTTTGTTTTCGGAAGGGAGATAACAATAAAACTAATCTGCTCCCTGAACCTTCAATGGGAAGACCTGCAGACACCAAAAAAACCAACCAACAAACAAAAAGAAAGCTAAAAAAACAATACAAACAAACACCCCCCCCCCAAATAAAAACCACCTTGTCTTGAATACATACAGCTGATAACTTTGGGCTGACAAGTGGAATGTTTTGATAGACGAAAAAAGACAAGGAAAATGACGGGAAAATAAATATGAGCTAACCCTAAGGATCTTCTAAAAGTAAATCTTTAAAATAATACCATAAAAATAAATTAAAAGGTAAGACATTTTAAATCAGATTGTATTAACAGTACAAAGTTCACAAGTACAAAAGCAGAGAATGGAAGTACACAGCTTAGACATGTCTCTACAAGTCTGCTAAGCAAGACCAGACTGACTTAGGGTTTACATGTGAGGGAAGCAAGCCTTGATACAGTTTACAAATGCACATGAGATTCACAAGTCTGTTCTTTGAAAATTATTAACTTAATTTTTATACCTCTAAGCAGTTAGTAAAAAGGCATATTATGTCTACATGGCCAATTTACTAAGAACAGAAAGCGGAAAAAATTAGAAAGTGAATATACATGCCAATTTATTATTCACTAAAAATTAAATAATGTCTTTCCATGGATTTTAAACATCCCTTTACTCAGAGACTGGGATGAGATTTAGGATATAGAGGATGAATAACGGAGACAGCAAGAATGTCAGAAAACCCTAAGGATCCAGGGAGGAAGCTGCAGATAGTCCTAGGGACGCAGAACCTCCTTTCACAACAGTAAGAGTATTTTTCAGAGCACCCTAATTTCCTCAATTCCTCAACTGGGAGAGTAACATTTCATGGTTCTTTAGCTTTGAGATTTAGATAGTTCCAAATTAAAAAAAAGTATCCTGATGCCCCATCTTTTAACACTTGCTGAACTGTTTCCATTTTAGTAGCTAAGGCTTAACACAAAATTTAAAACCGTAACTCCTGTTCTTCTTACAAAAATACGACAAAGGGTGAAACCGTCATTGAAGTGGCTGTGACGGCTTTGTCTACATGGTAACCTGGGCTGTATCCGGCAATGGGTCATCTTCCAGGGTTATTCAGGGCATGTTTTTAATAAGTTCATATTGAACAGTTTAAAGAACAGTCAGACAAATAAATCTCTAAAGGTTTTAGGTATGTCTACTGAAAAAGGCCTTTAATAACTTGTTGTCCTGGAGACAAACATAACCAGGCTTATGATTATCTGAGATTCATGACGACACTGTGCTTGAGCTCAACTGTGTGCCTAAGATCTGAAATTAAAGGAAACACCCACTTAAAAAGACCAGGTAGGCAACAAAGATCATTATCCATCCACTTCCTAAAAAGACAGCCTCAGCTAATAATTTAAAATATCTCTTTACAAGTATCTCCTAATATGAGACACTAACCACAATCAAACCATCATTTTCAGATTTCTAGATGTTTTTCAAAAACTGGAAAAGTCACAAATGACTCCTGTACAGGAAATGTACTGATAAAACAAAAGCTCAGCATTTGAAAAAACTAAAGCAAATCAGTACTTTTCGACTAAAAATGACTTTTCAGCTGATAAATTACTGAAATTTTTAGCTTCAAAATTTTATGTGACCAAAAATCAGTATGGGATTGAAAGACTGAGAGGAGCCCTGAGAAATCAGGAGCACATCAGCAGTGGACGGGAGACTCCCAGGTGGCTGAAGAAGAAAGGCTCTCATCACATTATTGAAGAATGCGCTGAAAATAGTTTAGGGCCTGGTCCATGAGCACACTTCTATTTTCGGTTCTTCCTCTCTCCCTTTTCTTGGGAAAGAAAGAAAAAGTACTCCCCAGGGTCCATTACCTATGCACAACAGACACTTCTTAGACTCCTCCTTAGATAAAGCTGGGGAGACCCTACTATCAAAGTGATCTGAACACCAAAAAAAAAAACAAAATGGAAAAAATATTTAACTTTTTTTTTTTTTAAATAAAAGTAGAACAGGAAAAAACTTCAAACTCGAGAAACCATTTCATACAGGATGGACATTAGCAATTAGTAAGTACCTGTATTTTATTTGTCTGAAGCAGACAGGACTTATTTAAAATTAGACTGTTTAGTCGTGGATGAAGCAGAATGAGATGCTTGTTAGTAAAATAAGCTCAGAGGCAAACAGTTAGTCCATCAAGTTAGTGAACTCTGTACCTTCTCCTATGAATGGGAGGTCTCCTGACAACATCCCCAAGAACTCGCATTGAACTGAAAATGAATGGTGGAAGAGGTCAGTGTCCAGGTGAAACAAAATGGATACAAACGCATGAAACATACAAACATCACACTAGGAAGAGACAATCAGCAAAGAGAAATGGTTTGGGTGTAAGGGAATGAAAGAACGTGGAATAAGGAAAACATCATCACCAAAAAGGCCTGATAATCTCTGAGCAGGGCTACTTTAACTCCTTGGAGCATGGAGGAGACAATCAGGTGACCAGGAATGAGGTTTATTAAATTATAAAAGCAGAAGGACTTTTTATAAAGGCCATGCAAGAATAACTTTAACAGGATTTTCTTAAAGACTTTAAAATTCAGGTAATTCTCTATACAGGTAATACTGTAAGAATTAAACTGATGAAAATGACCCCTGACTCTCATTCCATTATCTCTAGAGGTACTAGGACAGTGGTACCAGGCAATTCTGAATGATAACTGCAAATAGCAGAGTCCATGATATTATACAGGTTGAAAATACAAGCAATTTAGGTGAAAGGGTTCTAATTGTAGCTCTATCCTAAAATCATCATGTAATCTTGGGCAAATCTTTTAATCTGAGCTTCAATTTCCTCACTGGAGCAACATGATGTATACAGTCACATCTAGCTTGGAAATTAAAGTCATGGCAAAGGGATCCATCATGGTTTATAAAGGAAAACAGATTCCATATAAAAGGAATCCTCCTTTCTCAATGTTGTTGTCATTTAGGACACGTGTATTCTTGTCAGGCAGATTCTCTTGCCTCAGGAAGGGAATTCTGCCTGTAGGGATCATTTTCCCATCCTTATTTTCCCATACGAATGCTTTAAAAAAAAAAAAAATACAGCTTGAACAAAGCTGGGAAGGAAAGCTTTTACAAACTGCTTTTTACATAAGCTAGGATTTCAAATACATAAAAACTGCCCATCAGATAGAGCAATGCTTATGTTATTTTTAAGGTTTGCATCCTGAACTGTATCCCAGAATAAAATGGAGTTGTAGAAAGACTGCTTGACCAGGAGACTGGAAACCTGGATTCCACTGACACTGTGTAAATGGTTTAAACTACTTATGTAGTCTCACCTGCAAAAATAGGGATGCCACCTGACTCATGAAGAGGATGGGAAAATTACATGAGACAATGTGTTATTACAGGAATCTAAAGGGAAAGCAAATCAGGAGGCTGTAAGGTACCATATGAAGGTAGGACTTCTTTCACCTTGGGGCTCCAGAACCTAGGAATGCCTGCTGTGCTTAATACATGTTGGCCGAATAAAAAAAATACATGAGTGAGTGAATGTAATCAGATTACATGTACTTACAGCTATGAAATCTAGGCCAAAATATTAGGAGGTCAAGGAATTTTTAAAAAGCAGACAAGCCAGTAACTGCTCCAGGTAAACTGTTGATATCAGTTGTTCTACAATGGTCAGCCTCCTCCCTGGCTGTTTGAACTCATTTAGAAAATAGCCTTGGAGTAGGCACACTTTTACACATATAGGAGGCATCATGGCACCTGTTCTTTAAACTTAAATTCACCTAGGCAGCCTATGGTTAGAAACCAAATCTACATTTTCATACAGCCTGCTTGGGAAACTGAGAGTATGAGACTCACACAAGAGACCCCCAGACTGCATGATACCTGGAAAAACAGTAACAATTTAATAATTATTATGATCTCTTTAACAGTTAAGTACTGGTAATTTAGATTTTATCAAAACTTTCTAAACTAGAAACAGATGGCAAATCCTATGAAGCACTGTGAAAAACTTGTGTTGAGACTGTAAGACTTCAAGTTTATTTCTTAATTCAAAATTGACATGAAACTATTCCCTTCAAATTTTCTAACCTTTCAATATCATGAACAAATCTGGCCTAAACAAACGGTACACCAGTTAATGCTACACCAGTGTTTAACCCACTATGTGACTTACATATTTCATTGTAATCTTTACTCTTACAAACACTCTGAAAGGCAGGTGTTTTACAGATGAGAAAATTAAAGCTCAGAAGGGTCAGGTGACTTGCCCAAGGTTATCCAAGTAGTAAGTTTCAGAGCTGGAGTTGGAACACAGATTTTCCTGATTCCAAAGCCTATATTCTTTCTTCTATACCATGGTATCTCCTGAAAACTTTCACGAACAGTAACACCAAATCGAGAGCAAGCAGACACTGAGAGGAGACGAACGGCCTGCCGCCTCACCTCCGGTGGTTCATTTCTGCATCGCTGGCTGCGTTCTTCCCGGGACCCCAGCTGTGCCTCCGGAAAGGGGACAGAGAGCGCATGGAGCTCCGCAGGACAGAGCAGCTCGCGGGCACCTCGGTGATGCTGTCCATCTCCTCCTCCTCCATCTCACCCGAGCCAGCAGGCTCGCTCTCGCTCTCTCGACCCTCAGCTCCCAGCCCATGGCTGTAGAAGCCGTTGAGACACTGCGGGTCTCTGGACCTGTTCAAACTGCAAACCTGGGGGAGGGACACATCACTGCCGTGAGACGAATGTTGGTCCAGGGACGCCGTGTCATCGGTGGAGGAACTGGATCCAGTGACATCGCAGGCCAGCTGCTCCTCCTCGGGCTGCAGTGGAGAGAAAGCACGAATGGTCGGAAACAGCAGGACCGAGAGGCCTCAGCCACTCTCCACTGAGTCAGTGCCTTTACAGGGGGTGGAGAGGCAACATCACAGCTGGCTTCAAACAGCTTGCTTTCTTAAAGCACAATCAGAGATGGATTCAAACCGCCTCCAGTCAAGGTTTATACTTGGTTTATATACAAGTATATAAAGTTTATATACAAGTATATATACTTGGTATATACAAGGTTTATATCCAGGATTATACTCTTTCTACCCTTTTACTAGAGGTGCAAAATGGGAAATATATTGTCTTCCCTTTCTTGCAGAGGAAAAGATCTAATTCTGGTCAGTTATTTTCAGTCAATACTATCAACTGAAATGAAGGGAACCTATTCTGAGGTTTCTGATGTATGAAAACTCTAAACCCATACCATGTAAAGTTAATTTTTTTTTTTACAAGCTTTAACTAAAAACAAGGTAGCGTGCTTGACTACAACAGTGATACACAGAAGTTTATATTAAAAAAGCAAGTCTATTTTCAGTGGCATTTTCAAAAATGCAGAATAGCTTATGATCCCACCTAAAGTCTGCCACAAATGTCCAAATTCTGGGCCACAAATACCTAAATGCAAGAAATTTATCCCCCCTTTTTTCCTTTAACTGAGTACTGGCTGAGTTTTATCAAGCCAAACTGTACCTAAAATAATCATCCTCTGCAGTCTTTGATAAAGTGATGGTGCTCTTTCCCTGGCCAACTTCTAAAGCCTACCAGGAATTGTGTCATTCTGATCCAGCAGACTGACAATCTCTACCCGCTGAAAAGCACCAGAACACATTATGTGATGTGTGAGGGAAAGATGAGCATTGTGGCATTAAAAAAATAAGATTACCCAAAATATAAGTCAAGTGTCTAAAAGACACATGCTCACACTCTCAGCTACACAGGCGGGCACTGTACTGTCTTTGTATCTTTCTTGTGCATTCTTACGGGATAGGGAGCAGGAAACAGAAAGAGACTGTGATTCCGCCCCCCCCCCCCCGCCCCCTTCTTCAGAGTATTTCCCTAATTTGCCAATCTACTTAGTTTTAATTAGGAGTAAAGAAACTTATAGTTCTTCAAAAGAGATTTCAAAAATTATAGAAACTCATGAGCCCTTTTAGTCTTGAAACAGAAAATAACTTCTATACTAAAGAGGCTGCCTCTTTAAAGGCTTAACAAAACACTTCAAAAGCACTCTACCTTCTCAAAGCAATCTTTATGCGCTCGGGGCTGGATCTCACCAGCTCATATGAGGTTCTTCTTCCTACTCTAGAATCCAGTTCCCCAGCTTAACTGCTCTTTAAACAAGCAGTGAGGGATGAGACTGAGGGAGACGCAAGGCGCTGGAGAGTCAGAACTGTGAGGCCCAGACTGTCTCCTGGGCTCCCCCAAAGGCAAAGGCAAGATCTGAACGCAAGCTAATTCCAACTTTTAAAAACGCCCTGCTCTATTACTATCTTCATCACTTAAAAAACAAAAACAAAAAGACTCTGTAAGAAATAAGATCTCAAAGTATGTATCAGAAGTCCTCAGTGTTCCTTTCAACTGGGCCACACTGGGCCATATATTTTTATTTTATAGTAAAATGAAACTATACTGAGTAGATTGTAAAATAGAGTAAGTTTTGGTTTAAAATAAAATTGTCAATGACTCCTTTCAAGTTAGTGAGGAGTGACCTGGGCATCCTACAGTTTCTATTCCTGGGGCCACACTCCATCCAGAGGAAGAATATAAATGGTCATGAATAGCAACTTCAGAAGACACTTATAGGATATCTTAGCTTTTTCACTGGAATGGGTTGAATAGTGTCCTCGGGTTGAATAGTGTCCTCCTCAAATTCACATCCTTCTCAGAATGTGACCTTATTTGGTTGGGTCTTTGCAAATGTTGTTCATTAAGATGAGGTCATACTTCACATGAGAATATTTCCTGAATCCCAAAGGAGTAGATTCCTTGTAAGAAGACAGAGCAGCCCCTCGGATACATGGCTTTTAGGACCCCCTGCCTCCAGAACTATGGAAGAACAGTTTTATATTGTTTCAAGCCACCAAATGTGCGGTAATTGGTTACAGAGGCCCTAGGAAACTAAAGCTGCCTAAATGTCTAATTCTCAAAGCAATATCGAGGGACAAACAGAATAGGCAACAGAAGAGAAAAATATGTGACAAGTCTGTGTTAAGATACACAAGCAAAGCTTCAAAAGAAGTTAAAGTTTCCATTTATCCATGTATCACACGTTTTTGTTACAAGTTAGCTCTTCCCAGTGCGGAAATGACTTGCAGATGGGAAAGCAGGTACTTTTCTCTAACAAGAAGAAACCTGCCTAGCATATATCGTCAACATGGTCTTATTCCCGGTGTGTGCTTTTAACTCTGATCTTAATTTAAAAAAAAAAAAAAAAACCACAAGCTAAAAGACAGGGAGTTGTTTTGTTTTGCTTTTCATAGTAACTGCATGATTTCTTTAGTTTTACATTCCTGATTCTGATTTAAGAATGAGGTTCAGACAGTATAATATTCTTACACTCAAGTATTTTCATGAGCCGGCAGTTGCAACTTGAAAATGGAAAAACAGGACAAATACAGAAGTTACGAGAGAGCTCATTTATTAAGTACTTGAGGCAAATGGTTTTAACTTTAGATTGAATCTAAAGAAGGCTATAATACTCTTTTCCAGGTTTGTGTTTTTTTTTTCCTTTAGTGTTCTCAAGAGTTTCCCAACTTCATCACATCCTTATACTACTTTGCAGACTAGAAAGTAGTCAGTGGCGTAATGAGAAACCAAACCTGGAATATGGCCATGGCCCTTCTACAGCGAGGTATGTGTCTAGGGATGAGCCACGTGATAATCTTCAGAGCTAAAGAAGTCAGAAATTAATGTAAGGTCTGTGTACAAACATTAACTATTTTAATCATGGATAATAGAGGAAAAAAGAAAAACAGGGTTTGTTTGTTTAACTTTTGGGGTTTTTTCTTTTTTGCAATGTTCTCTTTCCAGTCTCTGAATGTGTAGTGCTAAAGCTCTCAGAGAAAGCTGCCAAAAAGCAGATGGGAGAGGTACGACTTACACTATTCTTCTCCCTTCTCAGAAAAGTACCAGGTCTTGGGGAATGCTGTTTTTCTATTTCTATAAGTTAGAAGGGGGAATGGTTTCCGACACAGAACAGAATGGTCCATGCTTAGCAGTTAAGCCCCTCTAAGAGTTTGAGCTGGTCTTTCTTTCTTTAGAGAGGTCTTCTCTCTTAGAACACCTGCTAGTTACATGACTTTCAAGACTCAGGACATTATTCCTGATGGTCTGGAGGAATGGTGCCATGGGATCAGTTTAACTAACAAATATTTTAAAACTTTGTTTTGGATCCATGTCAATCAAATGTACCAGTTAAATTGACCCATGGCACCATTCCTCCTGAGAGTATCAGGAGGGATCAATCAGGAATAATATCCCAAGGCCCACATATATACACACACATATATTTATATGGACTAAATATTACATTTAAATACATAAGTATTTATATATAAATACAGTGAATATATAAGAATGAAAATACGTGTGTATATATATATATTACCTATTTTTTCATTTTTAGAAGCAAATGGCCAAAATCAACTGTGATGAGTATTAACTGGGTTAGGGCAGAGAAGAAGAGACGCTAAAAGGTAGACACAGGAAGGAAGGGGTGAATGGAGTCATGTATGGGCTTGGCCACCTACTCCAGTATTCTTGGCTGTAGAATCCCATGGACAAAGCAGACGGTGGGCTACAGCCCATGAGGCCACAGAGAGTCAGACACGCCTGAGCGACTAACACACATGCACGCAAGAAAACACGCTTACTAGGGAAACGAAGACCACGTCTGTAACCTGAGGCTGACAGACAAACTCGTCCTCTCTGGAGTTCTCATGACTGCTTTTCCTCCTGCATATAGCAGGATGGAACACACACAGAAACTATCACCTCTACCATAAGCTTCTCTTTTCTTGGAATTAATAAAATTATGAATATCTGCAAATGGTGATCAGGCTAGAAAAACCACTAGGTGTTGGAGAGAACGCCCTCTGGGCACAGAAAGGTGTGAGGGTGGCTGAGCTTTCCAACACTGACCTTGTGGCCTCAAGGGCAGGGCTGAGCTGACAGACTGACCAGAGGACACTTAGGTTTTGCCTAATCTAAGGCCAAATAAATTAGGGAAAATGAAATTACAAAATAATTAATAAATAAAAGTTAACATAGAAGTCTAAAATAAATGATGCTTACAAAAAGCTTGAGAGAATCTATTACTTAAATATACGTGCATTATAACTATTACATAAACTTAATGGTAATTATGTACTAGATACTCATCACTGTGAGGCTTTTACTAAGAGATTTAGATGTATGATTTCTTTTAATCCTCACAACTGTTTGATTTAGTAGCTGTTCTTATTTGCATCTGATGAGAAACCTGAAGCTCAGTAAGGTTACATAATAAACTCAAGTTTCTGAGGACAGACTCTTCTTTTGTGTATTTCCTTTCTTCTCCAAGCTCTCCAGGTGATTCTAGGTTCAGCTAGGATTCATACACCTAAAATATATGATTTTTATTTGTCAATTATAACTCAATAAAGTTGGGGTGAAAGTCACTGAATGGTACCCTTGAGACCATGTACTTCATTTTATGTAAATATTATTAAAAAAATCTTACAAATACTGAATTCTAAGTATTGAGAAGTGGAGTACATTAATATCTATAACTTTGAAGTGTATTAAAGAAATTAGATGACCTAATGGAAAGAATGAGGGACAGATGCATAATTATGTAACAAAGCAAATAATAAAAGGTTAATTGTAAAATTAAAAAAAATTTTTAAAAAAAGGTTAATTGTAGAATCTAGGTGGTGGGTATTCACCGCAGAATTCTTCCCGCTTTTGTTTCAAAATTTTAAAAATAAAAGTATTGGGGGAGAAAAAATGCCTGACTGGCTTTCTTAACCAGAGTTACACCATCAGGTATGATACAGATATGTACATGGAGAGGTGTAAACACTATACACACATATATATAGAAATCTAGAAATAGCTATGCATTTTGTATCTTATTACTACACCTGAAGGAATCACCTTTAACACTGCCAAAATACTAGTCCTTTAATTTTCATTCATTTATTCAAATATTTATAAATTATTATCTGTTATAGTATACTCAAGGCCCTTGGCCATGTGCCTTGAAAATAAAAGCATATATTTTAAATGCCTAGTATCTGCCAATTACTTAATCCATTTATGTGCTATACTGATGGCAAGCACTAGCCCCACTTCACAGTTCTAAAATTACAATCATTTCAATACTTGTGCATTAAGAGTTCACAGGTTTTCTAATTTGGATTCTGTAAATATATTTACTTTTATCTGAAAAAGTTTAAAAAATTTAAGGTAAATTTTTGGCTTGATGTTTAAGTACTTGGAGAGCAATTGACAGCATACAAAACAAAGGATTTTCCTTTAAGAGTAGCATGTTGGTGGAGTCACTTTGTTTTTTCTTAATCAATTGTGGATAGTATCTTGTGATTGCGGGGCGGGGGGGGGGGGGGGGGGCGCGGAAACAAGGTGTAAGGGCTTTGTCTTTGGGAAAAAGAGGCAGCAACTATGAGTATAATTCTGTGGGCTTCAATTACCTTTTGGGTAGCAGAGTGGCCCAGATCATGTATTTTACAATCACATTTTCTTTCTTAGCTTGGGCCAGAAAGAACCCTAGGATTTCTTCTCACTTTAAAGGCAAAAATTAAATTTTTATGCTACTGATCTATGGAAAAGCCAAGACCTCAGGAACCAGCAAATATCCATCAGAAAAAAAACATGAAGCTCGCAACACTCACCAAAGAGTCATATTTGCCAGGAGGCCAGCATGCCAAGTGGAAACATGAGGTTAAGGTGGAAAGTTCTGACAAACACTGTGGGCTGATATTAAAGAGCTTTCTGTAAGGCTAAAGTCACACAAGTGGCTGCAGGAAGTGACCTAACGTACCACTCATGGTTCACAGAAAAGGATGGTGCAATGTCTTGCCTACAGATTAGTCTTCAGAGAAGGGAGTGTGGGAGGGCTGGAGCCTGCAGAGAGGCTCCGGGAGGGTCTGACACTTCACAGCAAATGCTGGGTGGATGACCACAGGGGAAAGCCTCTAAGGAAGTAGCTGATGGCCTGTCTGCCACCACTGCCATGCTTCTTTTTTTTTTTTTTTCCATTTATTTTTATTAGTTGGCCATGCTTCTGTATAAAGCACTGGTTACTGAAGCAGGTGCTTGGAGATTAAGAGCAAAATCAATGAGTGGATTTCAGAGTTGGGCCTAGCTACACATCTCAATTTTGTCACTTACTAGCTGAGTAATGTTGAGTCAACCTCTTTACCAACCAGAGTCTGTTTCCTCAGGGGTATAATGAGGATAAAACCACCCACCTTGCAGGGCCGCTGGGAGCATGAAATGAGATCACCTATGTAAAAAAATTCTGTTCAGTGCCTCACATAAAGTAAGCACCTTGTAAACATTAGCCTGTCCGTCTCCTTTTCCTCTCACATGTTAACCCTTGGTTTTGTGAATGTTAGAGAAAACGTGGTTGCAAAACCTTTCCTGGTCACCAACCACCGTGGCAGGGTGGAGACACCAAGAGAAGGACCCTCCAACCTCACCCCCGGCTGCCAGACATTCTCGTGCAAGCATGAAGAGGGGAGAGTGTCTCCGCCATTTCCAGACTTTCCGAGGAGCCCCAGCACAAAATGCTGGTCGAAGTTTAGTCAGGGATATACTTCAGCTTTTAAAAATGCTTCTGTGCTGTCGTCCTGGAAAAAACTCCTAAAATCCAGTGCTGGCCATTTTTAATGAACAAAACCTAAATGATTTTAGCAGGTTGGAATAATTAAGTAGTAAAGTAACATGTAGTCAATTCTAATTCTCCTCAACTAGGAAAACCATTCAACTTAGAGATGGCAACATTCAGGGCAAGCTGGCATGCACCTAGGAGGTTCAAGCAAGTGTTTCTTCATGGAGGAAACTTTACAATTGGTGAGAAAGTTTTTTACTGAGAAAACTGTCACACATATATAAATGCTGAACAAATCCTCACATATCCAGGGCCCAGTGTGAGTGATTACCAGTGATTCCATCTTAAAACTGGAACTTAAGAGATAATATCTAATGTATTCACTGAAGCCTTTTGAGAGATAGGCACCTAAAGAACGGCATTCCCCTTGGGGAGAAGCAGTCACTTTTAGGAGTCCTTACAGTGCAAACCTCAAAATCACAGTGGAAATCACCTAAATTCTGTTGGCTAAAAACAAAGAAGAGATCATACTGATGTCCTCCTCTGTAAATAACTTCAGAGAAGGATAGCTCTGCCAAGGTAGTGAACGTTTCTGCTTTACTTTTCCCCCTTCTACGAGGAATGATGACAGGAATGCTGAAGTCCCTGAGTCTTTCTAAGGTCCCCTGGAATGGAAGGAACACAGGAAAGGGAAAGAGGCCAAGGGTAAGGGGAGGCCCAGTGGACACATGAGAGCCGCTGAGCAGAAGGGAGGGAAAGCGCAGGTAGGCTCAGAGAGGCATAGTGTGTTTTGTACCAGAGTCCCAGAAGGCCTCTGGTGTAGAGACCCAGCACCATCAGCCTGCCTTCGGGACCTGATGAGCCACTGACCCAACCGCTCGCCGCTTCTCCCACGAGCTCCTCACAAGGGTGTCGGCATGGCCGCTGTGTGTCTGCCCCTCCCCAGCTCTCTGTTAAGACAACCCACTGCAGCAAGTTAATAATATCATGCGCTGACCCGGCTATGGGAAAGGCCTCTATTCTTGGGAGACAAAACAGACCTCGCGGCAACTAGATGCAAACCTAAGTTAAGAGAGCGCGTCTTGGAGCCTCAAACACTATGAAAATGTGAAGTGACTCATGTGGATGGGTGTGGCTTTCCACCGGGGAGAAAGCTGGATTCCCGAGCAGAGGTCTAGAAAGTTCCAAGTAAGCAGGCAATGAGGAGGGCTGACCTCACCAAGCTCAGCCGTGAGCTTCAGGCCTGAACACATTAACCAGCCAGGACTCTGTGGTAAGCTTATTCACATGACGTCTTACAGTCCATCCCGCGGTCCTTCCTACCCCGAGAAGCAGTCACCGTCATCTGACTTCTAATTCACTTGACAGGAATGCCCATTTCTTTAGGCCTCAATGTGAGTTTCACAACCTGCATGGAACCAGCCACGATTCTATAGAAAAGAAAGTAGTCAAGGCCTCTTTCTAAAGCCCGGCCACCTGGAGCTGCATTCTCCAAAAGGGAGCCTTTACAAGTCTCTGAGATCGTGTAAGAGACGAAGGCTAGCCAGAGGCGCACACTGAGGCCAACGGTACCTTGGAGAAGACAATGCTGTCCACGTCTTCACTGGGTGAGTGAAAAAGGTCAGAATCACTCCCAGATTCTCTTTTAAGGACACCTGGTTTTGAGGCACACTCTTGGCCCAGTCCAACATCCAGGAAGCTGTCACATTCTGAAAAAGAAAATCCATTCAACCACTGCTTAAAAAAAAAATCAGTTTCTTTTCATTCCAGCCATCAGCCTTTTAACTCGATCGACTACCCAATCTCCCTCTCTTCCTATATTTTTTCTATTTAAAAAAAAATTGATGTATTTTAATTGGAGGCTAATAACTTTACAATATAGTAGTGGTTTTTGCCATACATTGACATGAATCAGCCATGGGTGTACATGTGTTCCCCATCCTGAACCCCCCTCCCACCTCCCTCCCCATCCCATCCCTCTGGGTCAGCCCAGTGCTGGCCCTGAGCGCCCTGTCTCACGCATCCAACCTGGACTGGCAGTCTATTTCACATGTGATAATATACACGTTTCAATTAAAAAGCTGTAAAGGAGACAAATTTAGTGGCTTTCAATTCTCTGTTGATAACCTGAGTCTGTCATATAAATCATGGGCACAGAAATGAAAAAAAAACAGTGATTTAGAACTATAATAACACCTATGTATTTAAACATACATCTTTTCCTCTTGGTAGTTAGAGAATTTATTTCTTTTGCTACCAAACTCTAAAGTTCTTCGTTAGGAAACTATGTGATAGGGTGTGCGGGCAATTTCTGTTTTGAGACTTAAGTTCTTTCTGGAAACTTGTTACTTTATCAAAATACTAAGATGAAAGACAAAGAGGAAGCATAACTAATAAGCATACCAGTGTATTAAACTTAAAGATTTTATTATGCAATAACAGAAATATAACTATTTAACTTTTCCTAGATAGAGCTGATATTGGATGAATAATGTGATGAAGAAAAATACATAATCTAGAATCTGTTTTCAGTTCAACAACTAGGATATGAACTCTGGGGAAGCAGACAGAGGTGGGCCTTGACAGAAATATTGTACTGGTGCCTCAAAGAATTCTCTGAGCAACTGAACTGAAACAGACCTAAATTAGCTCAGTATTTAACCCATTCTCTCCCTTAACTCTGTAACCAAAAGGGACATGTGACCTGGTAACAACAGAGATTAAAACATTGGTACATAGTGATACCAAGAAAGATATCAACCTCCTTCAACAAGTTTTGAAAGATGAAGCGATTCCATTCTAATTGGCATGATGCACGGCTTGGAAAACACATGTATATTTATCAAATCTTTAGGTGCTACTAAGTGATGAGGGGCAGTTGTAGACAAGCTGGCTGCCTGGCAGTTCAAGAGAAACCCTACCTGGAGGTTTTGCTTGAAAGGAAATTCAAGAGCAGTTGACAACACAAGGTGATGGCAAAACAGAAGACACTGGCAGTTTCGGGCTGGATTCACAGACAAAGCACAGGCATAACAGACAGTGTACCAAGTCCCACACGGGGACAGTCTGGCCACGGTCAGCGGGCGCCACCGACGCTGCACCCACGGCTGGGTCTGTTCCTAGACAAACCAAAACTGAAACACTGATAAACGTGGCAATGAGGTCATGAGAGTGGAAACACCCGAGATACATTCAGGCTGCAGGGGAGCTTGAAGAAAATGTGTCTGAGGACGGCTGAAGGCTCGCCCAGTGAAACCAGAGCTTCACTGTAACTAGGCTTCTGGGCCACAGGCTGACAGATAGCTGAAGTCATCAGGGTCATTCACTAGAAGGGCTGGAGAAGAATGCGTGCCTGTGGCAAGAAGTCTTGAAAAAACTGTCTACACAGAAGAGGGAGTGGAGGTTGAACTAGATGATGCTAATGTCTCTTTTAATTCTTAGAGTCTATGCTTAGACAATGTGCTTCCCAAGTGGCACAGCGGTAAAGCAGTAAAGAATCTGCCTGCCAGTGCAGGAGACGCAAGAGACACAGGTTCAATCCCTGGGTCGGGAAGATCCCCTGGAGAAGGGAAGGGCATCCCACTCCAGTATGCTTGCCTGGAGAATCCCATGGACAGAGGAGCCCATCGGGCTACAGCCCATGGAGTTGCAAAGAGTCAGACACAACTGAGCATGAATGCACATCACACATAAGCTTAGACAGCAACTGTGTGTGTACATGTCTGTGTTCAGACATAAAGAGAAAAAAAAGGTTTTCTCATCTAAACTAATAAGTGATCATTAATAAATTATTAGCCTTGGATTCACATTGATGTTTGACAGAAAACAACGAAATTCTGCAAAGCAATTATCCTTCAATTAAAAAATAAATTTATTAAAAAAAATTATCAGCCCTGGATTAGCCAGGAATCTAAGACAAGGTCAAAAAGGCACTGCACTGATACAGGTCATGAATTACTTGTCAACAAAACTACCTTTTCTGTTAGTGAGGCATTTGACTGGGGACTGGGGATTACCCAAATAAAGAGCTGTTTCATGTTTGTGTGTGGGAGGGTAGGGGGCAGTTTATAATCCTGGGGTAGACATGAATATATTAAGAGGCAATTTCAACACAGAAGTATTAATACATAAATCACGCCACAGGAATTGAGGTGGGGCTTACAGATTAATCTGAAAATGTTTCTGCTTAAAGTAGAAAAGTAGTCCATTTCAATCTTGGTCCAAACTGTTTCTGTGTGTAGTTCAATGGGAATAGCCCTGCTTTTAAAAGCCTGGAAATCACAGGTATTCTAGAATTTTGGGTGTTTTTTTCCCCTCACAGTTAGAGTATGTACTAACTTAGGTGGAGTCGGTGGCTGTGAGTTTTCTACTTGCTCCCTCCACCCTCCACCATCCCGGCTTTCCCCACTTGGAAAAATAAAAAACTCCACTCTGCGGTTGCGGGGAAAACAGCAGAGGGAGGGGGCTGCCCAAGAGCAGAAAAGGCTGTCACAGCAACTACGCCGAGCCGCTCGCCGCCCAGCTGGCAGGCAAAGAGACCACGTCCAGATTCCAGACTGGAAAACGCAGCGGTTCAAGACATTCTAACAGAAAATTCACAGGGAAGATCCAGACTCGGTCCTGGGAGGAACACCTCACCCAGGGAACGAACCCGAGTCTGGGATGGGATACGACGCTGACTGTCGAGCTGGGGCCGAGGGAAGAGGATGAAAACAAGGAAAGAGGGAGAGCAGAGGACCCGAAGGCGTTGTGAAACCCCCGCAGACGGAAGCGCGGGGACCCTCAACTCACACGTGCTGGCAGGTTTTCAAAACGAGTGGAATCTTTCTCCCTAATCCATAAGGTGGGGCGTAAGGAAGGTGTAAACAGGAACAACCATTGCTGGGTTTAGACAGAGTGAGGTGGCTTAAATCCGGATCTGACTACTAAAAGAAGTCATTCTCGACCTCTAAGACTCCTTACCAACGAAATAGGAAAGTACGTCCCTCCCTAAAATAGTTGTAGTGATGGTGAGAAAGAATTTATACACTTAGTAATGGACATCTGCGCCTCGGCACACAGCAGGCATAATATGATACACACACCTACTGGGGTTAATGCTTCATTAACCTATAACTTGTGATCTGACAAATGTCCAGTAAGGACATGACAGTTTGTGGTGGGTCAGTCCTATTTTATGACCTGTTTATAAATCTGTCTCTTACTTTTGTGCCCTGAGCCACCACCTTTTTAAAAGCAAGCAAACCCCAATGTTCATCGCAGCACTGTTTATAATAGCCAGGACATGGAAGCAACCTAGATGCCCATCAGCAGACGAATGGATGAGGAAGCTGTGGTACATATACACCATGGAATATTACTCAGCCATTAAAAAGAATTCATTTGAATCAGTTCTAATGAGATGGATGAAACTGGAGCCCATTATACAGAGCGAAGTAAGCCAGAAAGATAAAGACCATTACAGTATACTAACACATATATATGGAATTTAGAAAGATGGTAACAATAACCCTATATGCAAAACAGAAAAAGAGACTCCGATGTATAGAACAGACTTGTGGACTCTGGGAGAAGGCGAGGGTGGGATGTTTCAAGAGAACAGCATCGAAACATGTATATTATCTAGGGTGAAACAGATCACCATCCCAGGTTGGGTGCATGAGACAAGTGCTCGGGCCTGGTGCACTGGGAAGACCCAGAGGGATCGGGTGGAGAGGGAGGTGGGAGGGGGAACCGGGATGGGGAATACATGTAAATCCATGGCTAATTCATTTCAATGTATGACAAAAACCACTGCAATGATGTAAAGTAATTAGCCTCCAACTAATAAAAATAAATGAAAAAAAAAATGTAATGTGCACTTTCAAAGTGCTTATCAAGTCAATTGGGCTTTAATTTTACATATGCAAACAAATTATAGTTGGGGAAGGGTAGAAAAACTTATCAGCAGCCTGCTCACTGGGCTTTGCTGAACTATGTTAACCGTAATCCATGTGCACTTATTTCTACTTAAGTGTGCATTTATCCTGGGCTGAAGATTATACAAGTGAAAGAAAGTGAAAGTGTTAGTCGCTCAGTCATGTCCCACTCTTTGCAACCCCATGGACTCTATCTAGCCACCAGGCTCCTCTGTCCATAGGATTCTCCAGGCAAGAATGGAGAATGAGTGGGTTGCCATTTCCTTCTCCAGGGGATCTTCCTGACCCAGGGATCGAACATGGGTGTCCCACACTGTGGGCAGATTCTTTACCTCTGAGCCTCTAGGGAAGCCTGAAGAGTATGCAAAGTGACGTTAAATAAAGGTTATTATCTTATTTAGTCTAACACTATTGTTCTCTTGAGCTTTTGTTTAAAAGCAAAAGAAAGAAACCTACATGATTGAACGTATCTAGAATTCACAAGAAACTATGCCTACAATCATAATCTCAGGCCTGAAATTCAGGAGCGTAATTCAGGATTTTGTTAAACTGAGGTTTAAAAAGATTCGAAAGAATCAAAGTCTTTCAGGGGGCTGCGGTATGGAGAAAGTCAACGATATTTAAGATTATGCCCTGGGGAAAATGCTCAGGGGTTCAAATTCACCTCTTTTAAGGAGTAAAAATAAACTGTGGCATGTGGAGAACCTTCCTGTGAATATGCTAACTGTGAGGCAACCTCTACAGGGCAGACAACTTCACAGCTTGAGTGGCTGAGAATAATTACACTTCTAGAAAAAGCCCCTAACAGCTAAGGAACTAAAACAGAGTGAGCAGTATACTTTCAAGTCGAAGATTCTAGGGGATTAGATGGGGAATGGGTCAGTTACATCTGTGAGCAAGGTCAACCTTACAATATTTGGAGACCCTAAACACAACAACAGCATAATAATGTTCTTTAACTTCTGTATGAGAGAAAAATAGAAAGAAAAAAAAACTATTCTCATATTTGTTTCCAACACTTTCTTTGGAGCAAAGTCAGAGGGTTGAGAATCAGCAGGAAACTTCTCTTTAGGAAGAGGATTTGAACCATGTTGGTCTTAAATTTCCTCCTACTGCCAAACATCCACAGCCAAACTGTTTCTAAAAAGACCAGCAAATGAGAACTCAGTAATTTTTAAAGCAAGTCAGGAAAAACTGAAAAGGTTAACAGAGGTTTTGTTGGGTAAAGCAGACGCAAGAGCCCAAAATGCAAATTACCAACTGCAAGAACAGGCGTAGGGTACTTGAGTTACTCATCAGTCATCTGGTCTCTTCCCTTAAGGAAAGCCAGTAGGCTTCAGGGATGGAAGACAACAGCACAGACATTGGGAACAAACCTTGCGTCACAGTGAATTAGTGGCTCAACGTGGGTAAAAAGTCAGGACTCCTAACGACCACAACACATGCACTGTGTCATTAACCACCGAGGTCTTAAGGGCCTTTTACCCTCATCTAATGTCACTAGTACCTCGTGGGTGCTTAAGGAGAGCCTCAACTGCTGACAGTATTTCCAAAGATTACAATTCTCAATCTAGGCTACATAGCAGAGGAACCAAAGGCTCTTTAAGAGATCTGATGCTCAGACCTCACCTCGGCCTAAGTAAATTGGAATCGCCAGGGGGTAGGACCCAGACATCAGTACATTTTTAAAGCTCTCCAGGTAATTTCAATGCTCAGCCAAAATCAAGAGACCTGAGATTAGTCCTTAATAACATATATTTATAGTTTTATTATATTAAGAAACCATTATCACATGTACATATATGCACAGCACATATGCCTTCACAGATGAATTAATCAACCATAAAGCCACCTGTGGAAACTTACTACTAAAATGAAATTTAGGTAATTACACATTCATTTTCATAGATAAAAGGCCTAGAAACCCAAATCACGTAATACTCTTCTCACTTATCCCACTAATGCTCATGAAGGACAGATCGCCAACATTCTGCATTAGAGTGGGATGGTGGCTCCGGAAAAGGGACATTTTGGATGCAGTTATGCAAGCAAACCGGAAGATGGAGAATCCCCGCTTACCTGGGCTCTGCGTGGGAGCCAGAAGAGATGCTGTGTCAGGGCACGGCTCAATGGTACACCAGTTTTCTCGGTTTATCTGAAGGGAAAGAAAGAGAGATTGAGTAAAAGTCATGCGTAAAAAAGCACAACGGAAAAAGACATACAAAGAGGAAGATCATGGTGCAGCCAAGGGTGAAATAAAAAAAAGAAGTTAACAGCTAAAATGGATCAAATGTTGAACTATGTATCTCACATCCTGGTTTGCAAGTCAGAAAAAAGTGCAAAAATAATTCCTGTTTATTCAAGGATTACTGTAGTTTGGGTATCAGGTTAAGAATTCTACATACATTATTTCAATTCATCCTAATAATTCTACATATATCATTTTATTTAATCCCCACACTAGCTTGAAGAAGTTTGTATTATTTCTCTTGCCAAAAAATAACTAGGCTTGGAGGACCTACATTTGTCAATTTCTGATCTTTGGTGAGAAGATGCTAAACTATATGGGTGAGAAAGAACAACAGGTTTCCTAAACATGCTAAGCAAGATAAGGTAGAAAGTTATGCATTCTGTCAAATTACAACTGTCTGACAAAGAGCAAACGCAAGAAATTAAACTGCTTGCAAATAAACTGTGCAAACCTAGAGCCACAGGAAACAAACACCAAATCATTGACTCGCTTCAGCTCTTTTCCCAGTAGACAGGAATGGAGTCTGGGACCAGAGGCCATCAGTGTTTCAACTCCTGGTGTGTTACAGAATGATGCCAAAAATTTGAAAGTGATCCTTGAATGGAAAAGAATATTCAGCAGGGTCCCTGGGATTATACAAAGTATCCCCTTTCAAAATGCAATCTGAATGAGTATAAGGATGAAACCTCAAATTCAGTAACCTTAACAAACCCAATCCCCATCTTTCAAAGAATGGAAACAGTAAATTTTCCTTAAAAAACAAAACAGACCCTTTCATTTAGAGAAGGATTTTCTGACTGTGAACTGCACCTCATTTGAAATGAGCCAAACTTCACTTCCAGTGAAGAAAGTTTCTCTGTCAACAGGAAAAGCAAGAGTCCATAATTACTGTACTTTTGCTACATGAACATAGCAACAAATTTTAAAGAGATAACAGACATTTTAAAATCAGACCCTTTAACAACAGTGAAGAATGCTGAGCCACTCTGAATTATCATGACATTGCTCTCTCCCAGTCCATGATCTTCAACACCTCTCCACTCAACATTTTAGGAAACTTTGTTAAAACTTTTGATCCGAGAATGTTTTTATCACCTTTTCAGACGTTACTCAATAGCCAATGAGTAAACAGAATTTTCTTCATTGTTAATACTTGAGGGACCAATTGACGTCACTTTTCATGTCATTTTAGGCATTTGTGTGTTACAGAAAATGAGTTACACATTTTGCAAAATAACATATAAATATATAAATAATACAAAAATAATGTATTATTTAACAAAAAAGTTAGCAGAGTATTATTTAAAATAAATACCATAAATATTGAAAGAAAATTAAATCAAATCCCTTTAATGAAATAGGCTGATTTCTGAATAATAATGAGGAGAACATACTAGTGATGGGCGACAACTCCTCGAGGATCTCCCTGTGCATGTCTAGTGAGCAAAGGACACTGCCTGTGCTTTCATTCTAGGTTGTCTTGTTAAGAATGTCTCCACATCGCACAGCCTGGGGAGACAGAGATACTGTTTCTTTCTGTGTGAAGACAGATGTGTGAAGTAGGAACAAAAGTGAGGCAGGCTTACTGCCCGGAGTAAAACCTCAGCGGTCCCACGGCTGTGACGCAGCATCTCCCTGGGCCCCTTGTGTTGCCCCCCGGGGAGCAGGGCAGCCGGCAGCACCAACAAGAGGCTGGTGCTCAGGGTGCTTTTTGACTTCAGACAGCAGCCATGAAACTGTCAGGCTGACTTGGTAGCTTGCAAGTAGGGTGAAATCTCAGACCCCATCACAGTTTTGACAGTTCAGTTCAGTTCAGTTGACAAGCTCACACCGTAAAGCGTCTGCCTACAATGCAGGGGACCCGGGTTCGATCCCTAGGTTGGGAAGATTCCCCTGGAGAAGGAAATAGCAACCCACTCAAGTATTCATGCCTGGAAAATCCCATGGACCGAGGAGCCTGGGGTCTACAGTCCATGGGGTCGCAAAGAGTCGGACATGACTGAGCGACTTCACTTCAGTTGACAACTACTGTATATTAAATAGTACTGCTATACTTAAAGGTAGCAGCAGCCAAAAATCTCCTGATGACACCTATGTGAAAAGCTTTAATCTGATTCAATGTTTCATCGAGTGGTTATGCCTGAGTGATCATAAAAAGACAACTAATAGCCACTCTAACTTTTCTATAGGTTCCTGAGTCTTCTTTAATGACTATTAATCAGCTATACCCCAATACAAAATGTCTGTGGTGTTAAAAAATAAAATTAAAACTTAAAGAATGAAACCAACACTGGAACATTTTGTTAATTAAACTCCAGACTTTGGATTTCATTCCTTTTTCCATTAATGTTCTTTACTGTTCCAGGATCCAATCCAGGGTCAGCTAGTTCAGTTCAGTTGCTCAGTTGTGTCCTACTCTTTGCAACCCCGTGAACTGCAGCACGCCAGGCCTCCCTGTCCATCACCAACTCCGGGAGCTTACTCAAAATCATGTCCATAGAATCGGTGATGCCATCCAACCATCTCATCCTCTGTCGTCCCCTTCTCCTCCCGCCTTCAATCTTTCCCAGCATCAGGGTCTTTTACAATGAGTCAGTTCTTCGCATCAGGTGGCCAAAGAACTGAAGTTCCAGCTTCAGCATCAGTCCTTCCAATGAATATTTAGGACTGATTTCCTTTAGGATGGACTGGTTGGATTTCCTTACAGTCCAAGGGACTCTCAAGAGTCTTCTCCAAGACCACAGTTCAAAAGCATCAATTCTTCAGTGCTCAGCTTTCTTAATAGTTCAACTCTCACATCCAACATGACTACTGGAAAAACCATAGCCTTGTCTAGGTTGGCAAAGTAATGTCTCTGCTTTTTAATATGCTGTCTAGGCTGGTCATAGCTTTTCTGCCAAGGAGCAAGCGTCTTAATTTCAGGGCTGCAGTCACCATGGGCAGTAATTTTGGAACCCCCCAAAATAAAGTGTCTCACTGTTTCAATTGTTTCCCCATCTATTTGCCATGAAGTGATGGGACCAGATGCCATGATCTTCATTTTCTGAATATTAAGTTTTAAGCCAACTTTTCCACTCTCCTCTTTCACTTTCATCAAGAGGCTCTTTAGTTCTTCACTTTCTGCCATAAGGGTGGTGTCATCTGAATATCTGAGGTTACTGATATTTCTCCTGGCAATCTTGATTCCATCTTGTGCTTCATCCAGTCCGGCATTTTGCATGATGTACTCTGCATTAAGTTAAATAAGCAGGGTGACAATATACAGCCTTGATGTACTCCTTTCCTGATTTGGAACCAGTCCATTGTTCCATGTCCAGTTCTAACTGTCGCTTCTTGACCTGCATACAGATTTTTCAACAGGCAGGTCAGGTGGTCTGGTATTCCCATCTCTTAAAGAATTTTCCACAGTTTGTTGTGATCCACACAGTCAAAGGCTTTGGCGTAGTCAAGTAAGGCAGAAGTAGATATTTTTCTGGAACTCTCTTGCTTTTTGATGATTCAACGGATACTGGCAATCCAGCATACCACATCACATTTTGTGTGTATTTGCACATTTTTGTTCATAATTGCACATTTTGTGCAATTTTGCATTTTAAGACCTTTATTGAAATATATGACAAAGGTCTGTATAGTCAAAGCTATGGTTTTTCCAGCAGTTATGTACAGATGTGAGAGCTGGGCCATAAACAAGGCCAAGCATGAAAGAATTGATGCTTCCCAGCTGTGGTGCTAAAGAAGACTCGAAAGCCCCTTGGACTGCAAGGAGATCAAACCAGTCAATCCTAAAAGAAAGAAACCCTGAATACTCATCAGAAGGACTGGTGCTGAAGCTCCAGTACTTTGGCCACCTGATGCAAAGAGTCGACTCACTGGAAAAGACCCTGATGCTGGGAAAGATTGAAGGCAGGAGAAGGGGATGACAGAGGATGAGATCATTGGATAGCATCACTGATTAAATGGACAAGAGTTTGAGCAAGCTCTGGAAGACAGTGAAGAACAGGGAAGTCTGATGTGCTGTTGTCCATGGGGTTGCAGAGTCAGACAAGACTTAGCTACTGAACAACAACAAACTGAAACATAATTCATATACTCTAAAACTCATCTATTTAACTGTCTATTAAATAGCCCGTTCAATGGTCTAGTGTCTTAATACAGTTGGGAAACCATGGCCACTATCTAATTTTAGAACATTATCATGGCACAGAAAAGAAACCTTGCCTTCATCAGTAGTCACACACTACCCCAAACCCCTCCCCTCCCAGTTCCAGGCAACCATTAATCTATGTTCTATTTCTATGTATTGGCCTACTCTGGACATTTTGTATAAATGGAATCATACATTTTGATGTCTTTGGTTACTGGCTTCTTGCACTTAGCTCTTAAGGTTCAAGGCTTTCAAAGTTCATCTGTGTTTCAGCATTTATCAGTACTGTACCCTACTGCCAAATAATCCATAACACTGTATGGATATGCCCACATTTTATTTATTCATTCTTCAGCTGATAGACAGGTGGGCTGTTTTCACTTTCTGGCTGTTATGAATAATCCTGTCATGAATATCCATATACGAGCATAGGACATGTTCCACTTCTTTTGGGTATACACCGAAGGGTGGAACACCCATGTCACGTGATGATAACTTTACGTTTAATAAAGTCTGAGGGTTTGCCAGACTTTCCAGAGTGGCCGTGCCATTTGACATTCCTACCACCAATGTCCGAGTGATCTGATTTCTCCACTCACTTGCCAACACCTGCTACTGCTCTTCCCTGTGTTTAGATGTATCCCACTTGATAGGTGTGAATGGTATCTCATGTGAATATATGATATACACTTTCAACTTTTCCTTTTTTAAAACATATGTATTTTATCAAAGTACAGTTGACTTACAATGCTTCAGGAGC